TTTCCTATGTAAATTAAGAGAGAGAGAGAGATCTTATAGAGCATAGGCATCTACTTCTCAAGCATGAGGCCGAGCAGCTGTGGGATGAAAGTCTTGTCAAAATAAATCTGAAAGAACCTGGAAAAAAATGAAAATGATAATTTCTGATGTTGGTCTTTTCTGTGGAGCCTTTCCCACCCTAGGACTTTAGAAAATGCTGGAATTTCTTTCCGTTTAGGAAATGAGTATTGTTGATTTATGTAGTCCATGTTTGTCTTATAATGTCATGAAGCAACACACAGTGATTTGAGGTTAGTGGTTGTCGTCTGGTTTTTCTGGATTGCTGTTTCCTTATAGTGAGATAGATAGTTTCAAAGACGGTTGACATCTGGAAGGTCAAAGAGGGTATCATCCTCAGTCATCCTCTGGCAGAGCATGTGTTCCAAATCAATCCTCCATGTGATGCTCACAATGCTGAGTCAGAGATGGCTGTGTTGTTTCAAAGAGTTCAGAGTTACATGTTCTGCTTCCAATTGGGAACTTATAAGGATTATCTTGTAATGTCCTTAGAACTGTTTTCGCATTCAAGTACTTTCCATATAGATACTAATTATAAAATATGGGCTTAAGTTACGTGAAATAAACTATCGTTTGCAATTACACAATTCACACTTTTAAGCATCAACTCTAGCATTTAGCCATAAAGCATAAAACATGGACATACTTTCTCAGTCAGAAAAATGAAGCCAATGCGAAAGTATCTTGCCTGTGAACTTTTTGCTGGTGATGTTATGGGGTCAGTCTCTTGTTTGGGGTCATACTAAATAAATAGTTCAGTTTGTTTTGTAAATCTTTTCAAAATGATGGATTGATTGTGGTATGAAACACTTGTTGGCCAACAATTTGTCAGCGCAAGTTGTTAGCCAATGACCTGTGGCATCATGGTTGGAGCTGACACGCCTTGTTTTTTCGCACCTAAGTTTGCAAAGGGTTTGCAAAAATCTCATCTCAAAGCTTCAAAATGAACATTCTGTGCCACCAACATGTTGTTTTTTATAATCCCACAAGTGACCAGACCTGTCAGTCTAAGCAGCCACAATTCTAATAGTAATAATCAAATACTGCAAAAAGGTGATTTAAAAATAAATAAATAAAAGTCACCAGCTTTACTATTGTTTGGAAGGATGATACCATTTGTAAAATTTTGTTTAGCTGAGAGTCCTTACCTAGAGCAAAAAGTTTAGATAAACCAAAAGGGTTGTATATTAGTTG